TGGAGATGGAGTCTTGCTCTTTCGCCCAGGCTGAATGGAGTGCAGTGGCATGATCTCGGCCCACTGCAACTTCTGCCTCAGCCTCCTTAGTAGGTGGGATTATAGGTGCCTGCCACCACACCTAGCTAGTTTTTGTATTTTTAGTAGAGACAGGTTTCACCATGTTGGCCAGGCTGGTCTCAAACTCCTGACCTCAGGTGATCCGCTGGCCTTAGCCTCTGCTGGGATTACGGGCATGAACCACCATGCCCGGCCTAGGAAACTCTTTAAAATATAGCTGGCCTGCATCCTGTACCTTTTTCTTTCCCTTCTACCTTCCTTATAGCTGGGATACAGACATGATTCCTGGAGTTTGCCAAGCTACCTTTGACTGTGTTGATGGAACAGCAACAAGATCAAAGGAGCCTGGCTCCCTGACCCCCAGAATCCCCAGCTGCCTACCTTAGGACTTGCTTTACATAGGAAATAAGCTTCTGTCTGATTCAGGCCCTCGTATTTGGGGTTTCACTGAACCTAATCCTAGGTAAACCACATTCAATGATTATTTTGGGGGATGGGAGGACAGAGTTTTGCTCTTGTTGCTCAGGTTGGAGTGCAATGGCATGATCTCGGCTCACTACAACCTCCACCTCCCGGGTTCAAGTGATTCTCCTGCCTCAGCCTCCTGAGTAGCTGTGATTACAGGTGCCCGCTACCATGCCCAGCTAATTTTTATTTTGTATTTTTAGTAGAGATGAGGTTTCACTGTGTTGGCCAGGCTGGTCTCTAACTCCTGACCTCAGGTGATCCACCTGCCTCGGCCTCCCACTGTGCCCAGCCCATTCAATGATTTAACTTAGATTGAAATCAGCTCATTCAATCAGAAGCTGAAAAGGGGACTTGTGGCAGTTTATGATTCCCAGCTAAGGAATTTGGGCTTTATTATGTTGGCAGTAAGGAGCAAAAGATTTCTGAGCCAGAAGATCAGAACTGTGCTTTGGAAAAATTCGTCCAGCACTAGCCTGGAGGACAGTTTGGAGGAGGGAAGCACTAAAAAAAGGGATTCCCAGGTTCTGAATTTCAGATAGGTAAGCCCACCCCGCCCCCTTCCACTAAATTTCAAAGACCAGCTAGGGTTTGCCTACATTTAAGAGGCCAGCATTGGAAAGGAAACAGAAAAAAACAGAATGTCAAAAGAGAATCTGACGTAAGATGGATCCTTTCTTCTCTACAAGTGCAGGAGATTGTTTTTAATTTTCAGTCAGTCCAGGCATAGTGGCTCACACCAGCACTTTGGGAGGCCAAGGCGGGCAGATCACTTGAGCCAAGGAGTTCAAGACCAGCCTGGGCAGCATGGGGAGACTCCATCTCTACAAAAATACAAAAATTGGCCAGGCGTGGTGGCTCACACCTGTAATCCCAGCACTTTGGGAGGCTGAGGCTGGCAGATCACCTGAGGTCACGAGTTCAAGACTGGCCTGGTTAACAGTGAAACCCCGTCTCTACTAAAAATATAAACATTAGCTGGGCGTGGTGGTGGGCGCCTGTAATCCCAGCTACTAAGGAGGCTGGGGCACAAGAATTGATTGAACCTGGGAGTCGGAAGTTGCAGTGAGTTGAGATCACACCACTACACTGCAGCCTGGGCAACAGAGCAAGACTCCATCTCAAAAAAAAAAATTTTTTTTTAATTACCTGGATGTAGTGGCGCATGCCTGTAGTCCCAGCTACTTGGAGGCTGAGGTGGGAGGATCACTTGAGCCCAGGAAGTCAAGGTTGCAGTGAACTGAGATCAAGATGGAGCATCAAAGCATGACTGTCTCAAAAAAAATTCAGAATGAATCATCTCTGTGGAGCCGTGACAGCTCTTTTGACCCACTAAGTAAATATCTTTCTTTTAAATGGCTAAAGGAGGATTCCTTCGCTCCAGAGATTAAAAGAAGACAAATAGGGCTGGGCACTATGGCTCACGCCTATAGTCCCAGCACTTTGGGAGGCCAAGGCGGGATCATGACATCAAGAGTTCAAGACCAGCCTGACCAACATAGTGAAACCCTGTCTCTACTAGAAATAACAAAAATTAGCTGGGCATGGTGGTGTGCACCTGTAATCTTAGCTACTCAGGAGGCTGAGGCAGGAGAACTGGAGGTTGAGGTGAGCTGAGATCGTGCTGCTGCACTCCAGCCTGGGTGACAGAGCAAGACTCCATCTCCAAAAAAAAAGAAGACAAATAAGCATTACCTCCTAAACAAAAGCTTGAGCTTACTTAAAGCCCTGCAGCTTCATGACTCTGCCACCTCTTCCTGTCCTCTTCTGGGACCATCCACCCAGAAGACTATCTGTAGCTGCTGCATAACATTGGTAAATGGAGGCCGGGCTCAGTGGTTCACTCCTGTAATCCCAACACTTTGGGAGGCCAAGACAAGCAGATGACCTGAGTCAGGAGTTTGAGACCAGTCTGGCCAAAATAGTAAAACCCATCTCTACTAAAAATATAAAATTTAGCCAAGCATGATGGCAGGCCCTGTAATCCCAGTTACTAGGGAGGCTGAGACTCTGTTGCAAAAAAAAAAAAAAAAAGGTAAACAAATCCTTCCCATGATCCTTGAGGCCCCTCAATATCGCCTCTCCCAAGAGTTCTAGACCAGCCTGGCCAACGTGAAACCTCATCTCTACCAAAAATACAAAAATTACCTGGGCATGGTGGTATGCACCTGTAGTCCCAGCTACTTGGGAGGCTGAGGCAGGAGAATCACTTGAACCCAGGAGGCAGAGGTTGCAGTGAGCTGAGATCACACCATTGCACTATAGCCTGGGCAACGGGAGCAAAACTACATCTCAATAAATAAATAAATATATATATTAGCTTAGCCTGGTGGCATGAGCCTATAGTCCCAGCTACTTGGGAGGCTAAGGCAGGAGAATCGCTTGAACCTAGGAGGCAGAGTATATATATATATATACATACATTGATAAATATATTCTATCTTGGGAGATGAGATAATTATACCCACTTTCCTCAGGGGAAGACTGAAGCTCAGAAGAAAAAAGCTTTTGCAGCCGGGTGCAGTGGCTCACTCCTGTAATCCCAGCACTTTGGGAGGCTGAGGTGGGCAGATCACCTTGAGGTCAAGAGTTCAAGACCAGCCTGGCCAACATGGTGAAACCTTATCTCAACTAAAAATACAAAAAAAAATTAGGTGTGGTGACTCACACCCATAGTCCCAGCTACTCTGGAGACTGAGGCACGAGAATCACTTGAACCCAGGATTTGGAGGTTGCAGTGAGCCGAGGTCACACCACTGCACTCTAGCCTGGGCAACAGAGTGAGACTCAGTGTCAAGAAAGAGAGAGAGAGAGAGACGGAAGGGAAGGAAGGAAAGGAAGGAAGGAAGGAGGGGAAAAGAAAGACAAGGGAGGGAGGGAGGGAGGGGAGGGGAGGGGAGGGAGGGAGAGAGGAAGGAAGGAAGCAAACAAGCAAGCAAAGAAGCTCTTGCATTAACCTATGTGTGCCAGGCATTGCTGTCCTTGTGCATGGAAACTCTCAGAACACCCTCCAACCCCATGCTTATTGTCAGGCACCATGCCCTGAATAGAGCACTAGACCAAACCAGAGCAGCTGGAAATGGTGGAGAAGAGAAGGCTCCATCCTGGAACAGCATCTGCTCTCATCGGAAGGCAGGAACATTCCTGGGAAGACAGCAGGGCTAGCTGAAAGGTAAGTGGAAAGGAGACACTGGCACCTTCTGAAAGAGAAGAAAGAGCTTCTTAAAACTTTCCCATGTCATTGATATATTAATGTCACCGCTTTACAGAAGCCGAAGCCTCTGAGAGATGTAAAGTGAGTTGTTCCAGATCACACAGCAGGCAGCAGAGCTGACACTAGAAGCCAGGTCCCCTGACCATGTCTGGTCACTACCCCAGACAGTCCCAACTCTTTTGGCCCCACAGGTGGCCTTGGAAGTCCCCCTCTTCTCAAGACTCCTTGATTTTGTCATTGACATGTCAACTGTAAGAGAGTTCAAATTTCCCTGAGTCTGTGTCTCGTGGGGGGGCATGAGAAAAAGGCAGAAGCAGGAGGGTATTAAAGTAGTCCAGGTAAGAGATTCTTTATGTATTCATTCAATAAATATTTTAAACACTCTATGTGAAAGGCACTGTTGTTAGGTGCTAGGAATAGACCAGGAAAGAAAAAACATGGCCCCATACCTTCGAGCTTACATCCCAGTGGTGGAGAAAGACCATGCACAAGTAAATAAATAAAGTAATTACAGACTGTAGTAAGTGTTGTGAAATACCACAGACAGCACTCGAGATAAGGAAGACCTGAGGCCTGAATGAGGAGTCAGTATTCCAGGCAGAGGCAGTAGCACAGGTAAAAGCCCTGACTGTGAACAGTCTGATGAGGCCTGAACTCGTTTAGGAGGTAGGAATGGAAAGAAGGGATGAATTTGTGAATATTTAGAAGGAAGGAATAATCAGAAGGACAGACTGAATGTGGTAGCTAAGGTTGAACTTTGGCACCTTGGTGATAGTGGTGCCACTTGCATTGGGAAAGGAGGAGCAGGTTTTAGGGACAGGCATTGGCTCTCTTTCCCATCTGTACAATAGGTTAATATAACAATCCAGGGGAAAAAAAACCAAGCTTAGTACTAGGATTTTTGTTTTGGTGGTTTTCTGCTTCGTGTGTGTGTGTGTGTGTGTGTGTGTGTGTGTGTGAGATTGGGTCTCTGTCACCCAGGCTTGAGTGCAGTGGCATGATCACAGCTCACTGTGCCTCAGTCTCCCCAGGCTCAGGAGATTCCCCCCACCCCAGCCTCCCAAGTAGCTGGGAATACAGGCATGCATTGCCATGCCTGGCTAATTTTTTTTTTTAAGAGATAGGGTTTGCCATGTTGCCCTGGCCAGATTGCTAGTTCTTTTTTTTTTTTTTTTTTTTTTTTTTTTT